AGCTCTATGGTAAAGCAAATGGCAAGCCAATCCACTGTCAAGAAAGTCGATTTGAGCGTTAGGCTAAGCAATTTAAGCAGCAGTTTAACTGGCCAGCAGCCCCGATATGTTCCCATTCTGGAATCCAGAGCGCCCGCTGGTGTGTCGATGCTTCACCACCTTCTGAGGCTGATGTTGTTCATTAGTCGCACTTCCTAAAGCGCTACAAAAACCTTGGTACAGACGAGTTCCTTCCGCCTCTTTTCAAAGATGGAGGTCTATCACTAGTCCAGGAGTAAACGCTCCTATTCCAATAGCTTTAGATCCCCGAAGCAATCCCGTCTGATTGGAGTATGGAGGACATTGTGTCCGTTTTCAAAAATGATACCCAGTCAGATAGTGCTAACCACAGAGGGATTAGTCACATCTGTGTTGCATCTACAGTGCTCACTTCCTGCCTTTAAGGAGACTGAGCCTAGTAGGCGAACAGTAAGAACGTGAGGATCAAGTTAAGTTTAGCTCTGGCCGGAAATGTATGGATCACATTTTTACTCTCTGCTAAATCATCAAGCGTCCTTAAACGTTCGGCCGGCCAACAACCGTTGTCTTCTTAGTCATACGATCTGCATTTGAGTCGGCTGACTGAGCTGTAGTCTGGAGCTGTCTTTTGAGAAGTGGTGTCTGAGAATATTCTTCGAGCTATCTGCCCTCGAACCTCTAGCCGAGTGTGTGTATACGGCGAACTTTCGTCCCGACTTCGCAATGTTGAGTTTGCGGACAACAGCGCCGTAATTTGGGATTCCTCACAGGCCGCCCAAAATGTGATATGCAGGTTGGAGGCATCTGTCCCCCAGTTTGGAATGAGCTTCGCCCCTTCAAAGTGTAAAGAACAGATCCCACCCTTATCCTTCACGTTATGCTCTGGAAGTGGTAGAAAAGTTCGTTTACCTTGGAAGCTGAATCAACGCTAATGGTTCAACGGATGAGGTGTCCTTGCGCATCTCTAAGGCCGGGGTTGCGTGTGCTAATCTCCGCCATCTCTGGTGTCGACGCGACCTCGAAGAGCGGAGTCTACAATGTCACGGTTGTGAGACTTGGCCTGTTCGAGCAAAGGAGGTTCAGAGGCTGTTTTTCTGATCGCCGCTACCTTCGGATCATCGCTGGCAAACGGTGACAACATCACATTATATGAAGTTGTTCACTGAAGGATTTTCTGATCAAACAAACTTTGCCGGCCGCTGAGCCGCAAAACTCCACTGCACAGGCTTCGGTGGCTTGGGCACGTGTTTCGCATGCCTAATGAGCACTTGCCTCACCGTGCACTCATTGCGCACACAGACGTCGGCTGGGAGCGAAGACAAGGTGGCCATCGAATGACTTGGGTTAAAAGTAGGAAGGTGCTGACTTCACATTTAGCCGCGCTCGGGCGCTCTCCAGTCCCTGATTGGGGCGCAAGGATCATGGACACAGAGGGCTGGAAACCCCATCGCAAATGTGAGGAAATCTTGAGCAATGGCGAACATGTTGTGAGACTCTAACCACAAAACTACACTTCTTTTCTAACCACCCTACTATTTCATTATTAATTCTGCGCATACGTCGTGGCGCTCTGGTAACTGTACTGTCGGGCAAGTTTTCAATACGCATATATATTTATGTGTATATATAAATATATATATATACATACACGAGGCTGATGTTGCATTATTGATGCCTCTTCACCGCAGTTGGGCTAAACCAACTTACACTTAAACTAGGTCTTTTTAAGCTGGAAAAATTGCATTCCACTTTATTTGGTTTGTTCTGCCCACCTGAATAATCTTCTATTAACTGGCCACGTTGCTTACGCTAATTGCGCTTACCATCGGTAACTTTGTTGTGTTTGCAGCATTTTTCAGCAACTTGTGGACATTTCTTACTTATCGCGGATTCCTTCCTAACCAACTTACTTCATATGCTAATTTAGCGAAGGGTTACACCACCGTATCTGTATGAATTATTCGGTTTATTTTATTTCATCTTGTCGTTTCAAGTGATTGGCTGTGGCTGCGTTTGATGTGCATATTGACAAGGTGCCTACGTATCCATTATCCACTACCTCGTTCATCTGGCTCCAGGAGAAAGTTGATCGTTGCTGGAGGGACGGGGTGCACGGTCCTTGTGGCCATGATACGCTCGAAGAGTAGCTCCATGCACTCGGTGTAGAGCGGACTATGGTCTAGCCACCGCCTTGTGTGCGTTTGATTCCCCAACGCAGCGTGCTTGTGTTTGTCTGTGAAGTAGTGTAAGCCGGCTCCGTTGATGAAACGTAGCTCCCATCCACATGTCTCCCGGTTTTATTCCTTCGGGTTTACACTGGATATGGGGTGTGTGGTTGGAGATCTGGGTGGTGCAGCGCAAGCCATCCATGGTCCCTCTGTAGGCGCAGGCGTCCAGTGGCTGGTCACAGTGACAGGCAAATCCGAAACCAGATGCCGCCAACCATGTATACGAGGGCAGAGAAATAAGTTTCGGGAGACACAGTGCACAGACTAGCTGCAGGTGGTGTGGCAAGGAAAATGTGAACTTTATCCCATGCTGAACATTGTTTAGTTATTTCAACTCACAGAACCGTATATCAGCAGCTCAACACAGATCACAAGTCATAGACGTTACTATACTCTGATTGGAACTCAGTCGGTGCCACTGGAAAGTGACGATCTTCTATGACTTTAAATGCGGTCTAAAGCAGCAGCAGGATGTTTAACTATTGCGTGCTGCGTTCGGTAATGATGCGACTTCAAGAACCCCCGTGTTTGAGTGATTTGCGGAATTCAAACGTGGCAGGCGGTCCCTGGATGGTGAGGCACGGTGTAGTCCATTGTGAAGACAGCCACCGCGGACAACATTGCTGTTGTGCAAGAGAAGCTGGAGGACGCGCGAGTGACTGAAGTACGGCTGGGGAAAGCCGTAGTGGTCCCATAGAGATCAACCAGCACCATCCTACATGAGAACCTCGGTCTCAAAAAGGTTTGCGCATGCTCAGTGAAGAGCAGAAAGCAGCTCGGGTGAATTGGTACCGCACCATGCTTGTCAGCTGTGATGGGAGGTGTTTGGGAGAGCCTCGGTGGTGATCAGACCTAGAAACTAAGCAACAATCGGCTCAGTGGACGGCCGCTTGTGGGGCGCCGCCTCAGAAATTTCGGCGCAAGCGCAATGTGTCCGAGCAGATGCTGGCTGCGTTTGTGGTCAACGCCGGTCAGGTGGCTACTGTAAAGCTCGTACGGCAACGCAGACACGAGAGATTGGTAAGCCAAGCAATGCCTGCCACAAGTGCTGGAAGATGTAGCCAGGCGTCGTCTAAGGACTCGAGCACGAGGGACGTTGCGGTACCGTGACAACGCACGTGCACACAGATCTCATGTCGTTGCAGATTTACTGGCCATAAAACGCATCCAGAAGGTTGGTCACCTTTCCTACAGTCCAGATGCGGCTCCGTATGACAAGTTATGTTCCAAAATGTTAAGCACATTATGCGTGCAATCTGCTACGAGTTCCTGAAATCTGTAGTAGAACTGCTGGAAGGGATGCCCGGTTCGGCATTGTCTAGCTGCTTCCCCGAGTGGTTTAAGTGCATGAAACTGTGTATGAAGGCTGGTGGGGAGTATTTAGGGAAGAGTTAATGTTTATTTGGTTGTAAAAGATAAAACTTTTGGGTGTAGGAAAAGTTATTATTATCCCCTCGTATGTAAATATGATCAAGTCACATTGATATTTACGTTCCCTTAAAAAGATAAAGTGCGCTATAAATACGAAGATTCACAGGCCGTGTGCACATTTGGTTAAAGCTTGCAAAGGCACTTCGCTAAAGATCGCTCTTTTCGTTCTCGTGGGTAGTGATGCGAGAAGCTTGGTAATCTCGGTACGGTGAGGTATAAAACAGTTGATTTAGTCTCGCAAGCGGCGAATCAATCCGACTCTGTTAGCCATCTTTCCGCGTGGAGCATAGTTTGGTAGGATCCGAATCTGTCGCTTTAACTAGGAAGCCGTATCAAACTAGGTCGTTACTAGACTATCAAAAGTATGGATCAATACGGACGTTAAGTGTCACAAGTAAATTAGCAATTGCGTTAAAGCTAATCGTGCGTTTTGCCTGAGGTATGTTCGTTTCAACGTTGCCTGTCAATAAACAGTGGAGTGCAAGAGCCAAACGCAACAAGGCCACAGAATTCAGACCAGATAAAACAATCACTAGTCGCACTTGGGCTAAAGATACTGTAAGGGTCGCTCGTCCCTGCGCAGGCTCGAACCTTCGCCCACAGATTACAAGGCAGGCTTGTGATCGTAAAGGTTATGGGCCAAACTCCGATGGCTTGGTCAGGTGGTGCGCATGCCAGCCCATCGACTACCGCCAAGTGTGTGGTTTGCGCGTCGGGGGTGTGGATGGAAGAAAAGGAGTCAAAGCGATGACTTGGTCGAAAGGAATGAAGGTTCTCATGTGGATGTTGGCCTCGATTGGAGCCTCTCATCTTTGTGGTTGGGGTCCGAAGGACGATGGGCATGTCTGGCTGGATACATTTGCTGATATGACTAAGAGACGAACTCAGTGGCGTTTCTGTTGTCAGTTCCTTTGTCTCTCCCCCTCCTTCTTACCTTTCCACTCCAACCGCGATCTCATACCTTAGCATAATGTAAAGTCTGGAGAATAAAATTTGTTTTCTTGCATAGTAGCTGGCCGGTAGGTTTCTGGAACGATGTCCATCCGTTACCGGTAGCTCAACTGGCGTGTACCTGTTACACCTTTTTCTTTTCTTGTATTATTTATTTCAGCACAGCAGCTGTTTTCCACTTCTAGCTATCGTGTATACCGAGTGAACGAAGGTTATGGGCTGGCATTCATATCCTGTACGCTCTGATGATCCCGAGCATTGAATGAGTAGCAAGTTAATTCAAAGATTGAATTCCAACATCCATCACCGAAAATAGGCTCGGTTACCAAAAACGGCGAAAGATGCTTTGACAAGTAAAAATAGGGCACTCACTACTGGGTTTTCCACTTTGTGACGCTAAAACAGAGGTTGGCCACAACTCTTGCAAAAACGTCGGTACTGTTTTTCAATTCCATTCGGCCGACGGATATACACCGGGTTAAGTGGATTCACAGGCGTGGCTGTTATCTTGTGGGCTCGTTTGGAAATATCTATCACACGAGAATCGTCTCTGGCTCGGAGGGGTAGATTTTCAATGAGGCAATCGATGATCAAGGTCATATGACCGTAAATGCACGAGTACACAATAATGGCTTTTCGCTGGCATAATTGTCTCTTGGTTTCGAATCGGTGACGATGTGCGTGGCACGCTTGCGAACTTTGGGTTTGTTGATCTTTGCTTATCTAACTCGTGTCTGAAAAGATGAAAGTGGTAGTAAATACGAAATCACAAGCCTAGGGAGATAGTGAACGCAACATGCATTCGACCAATCAGAAAACTTCTGCAGCCCGATCAATAACACAAACGAACGACCACTAAGTGACAAGTATCACAAACAGGGTCAGCACGTTGAGAGTGATTAGGCTGGATGGTCAGCGATAAGAGGTAACGGTTCTGGATGTGGTAGATTGTGTCGTATAACTCACCATCTCCAATCCGCGTTCGCACCAGCATCGACCGTGTGCGTGTGTTTATCTTTTGCCCACACATGTGACTTGCCTTCAGTCCGTTGATCGATGCTCTATACCTGTTCCGGCCAGAATACACGTTTGCGTGTTGTCAGGCAGCTGTTTTCTGTTGTCATTGGGTTGCTCGGAGAAGAGCTATTATTGAGTTCGCAGGCTAGCGTTACTTTAGCATGTGTAGACTTTAAACTAAATATATGAGAGTGCTAACAAACAAGACCAAAGACAAGCAAACATGCCTTACCATTGCAGATCCGCGTAGGAAAGTCACTAGACCGTAGCAACCACGAGTAGGTCAAGGTAGTTCCCGAGTGCACACACAGCAAAAGG